CAAGAGGGCACATACAGGCCAGTGGGAAGCAACATGCTGCCCACTCTGGCTTTATATATTTCTTAAGTACTGAAAGGTAGCTGTCGTAAAAGATAGCTGTCTTAAGCATCTGGAAAACACTGAGTTCTCTTCGCTTGTATTAACATGTCAGCATTGCACATAAGGAAAAGGAATGGGTGTACTTTTCATCTTCCCTGTGAAAATTCTCTGAAGTGGAGAACCTTCCCTGTTCATAGACATCCTCTGTTCATTTAGAACCCTGAAAAGCCAGGTGTTTAAGTCACAGAGAATGTGTCTATCAACAAGACAGGAACTGCCCTGTTCCAATGTATACATTCACTTTATACATAGAAGGTGACAAGCACAGCAACTGGGAGTCTATGGGGGCGCTCATTCCCATGCATAAAGCATGCAGACAGCTAGAACAACTGAAGGCAGCGTTGGTGGTTGGAGGCAGGATCTGCTGGATCTCAGTATTTTGCATATGAACAGAATTTTCATCCAGTTCAACTGGCAAAGGAGGGGCCTCCAGAAATCTGAACATCAGGAATATGAACCTGCCTGTCCATTAAGATACTCTTGGCTGTAATTCCAACTGTAAGAAAGGTACATTTTTCAGCTACAAAGGGATAACTTTCTTTGAAATGTGCTTTCTTTGAAATTGATGCAAGGACCACTTGGCATCAATATTGCACTGTATTGTTTTCACCTGGCATTCCAACCTTTTTAAAATCTGCCCAGCCATGTTAAGCTTGCATTTATATTTTTTGCTGCCTGAAACAGCCTGATAGTCTCGCACATTCATTATTCTAATGTTTAAGGTTCATTGCTAAAAAAAAATCTTTAACTGTACTTAATGTTTTAACCTAGTGTACACTTTTTGAAACACACAAACAAAGAGAGAGATTACCATATTTTTCCATGTATAAAATGCCCCCATGTATAAGACGCCCCCCACTTTTCTAATCCAAAATTAAGAAATCTAAGTGGGGCTTAGCAAGTGGAGGGGAAAGGAGGGATCAAAGCCCTGCAGGATCACTTTGATCCCTGCTTTCCCCTCCACTTATTTTTGTTCTTTCCTCAGCTTGCTTCCATGTATAAGATGACCCTCAATTTTTAGTCTAAAGATTTTAGACAAAAGTATAGTCTTATACATGGATAAATACGGTAACTGCATACGGCACAAGAGACTTACTCAACTCTGCAAAGGAAAGGAGATATATTTTGGAGTTAAGATAGTTTTTAATGTTTGTTTGCTTTCAATTATTCAATTGCATTTTAATTAGCATAAAGTTTAATTGTTTTGAAACATTTAATTTATTATGTTTTTAATTCTATTCCTTTTAATACTGTGAGCCACCTTGAGTCCCCTTATTGGCAGAAACGCAGTCTATGAATAAAACAAATAAAATCCCTCCATCCCTCCATCCTAAAACTCTGAAAAGGCTCCCTTTTTGTACTTTGACTTCTGCTGGGAAAAAGAAAGTCATATATCTCAGGTATTTCCTCCCTGAAGATAATTATTACAGTGTTGATGCATTAGCTACCTACCAAAATAAATCTCAGATATTGTGGGCAACGGCCATAGATCTTTTTAAATTTATTGCACAACTCCAGGTGATACAATCAGCAATGATGTCCCCCCCCCATGCATTTTGCAGAACTTTCTTGAAACAGGATGGGGAAGCATGGCAAGGTGAAACACAAATCAGGTTTCTCTTCTGCTCCCACTATCCTACCATTTACAGTTCCCATTGCTCTCAACAAGGAAAGTCCAAAAACACAGGCAGCTGGATCAACCTGTATCATGAAATGGGTATCAGGTCTTCTCTAAAGTTAATGCCTCTTAATTACCCATTCAAGACCAAACCACTTGCAAACACTTTATATTACAAGAGGGAGACAGCATGCAATGCTTTGCTTTCTCAACAACTTTGAGGTTTGTACTGTACCTAAACTCAGAGGAAACAGGGAAGCCTGAAGGTGGTGGTGTGTGGGCAACCTCATAATCCATTATGTTCAAAAAGTCCTAGGGATTCAACCCTGTTAGCTATTGCACACTACTTGGGGAGAAGCCTTGGGTCCAGACTTTTGAAGGAGGAGAGCAGAACTAGGAGGCACCTATGGCCTTGATTCTGCAATTCACATCTTTAGCGGGTATCTCCTTAGTGAAGGAGGCATCAAGAACGGAGACAAAAGGCAGAATCTAATCTCCACCAGTACTCCTAACAGATAATACCATTTTGCTGAAGACATTCTACTCCTGACACCTCTACAGGAAAAGCTCCTTGCCCTGAAACATCCCTTTGATCAATTAAACAAAGCTGCTTGGGCCCAGTATTTATTACATTTCATTTTTAAGCAGGTAATCCCACCTCCGCAACCCATGTCTTCTCTAGACAAATAAGCAGACGTGATGGGAGAGGAAAAGGTTCCACAACGCTTCATGCTATTAACATCCTCACCTCTAATTTAATCTTTCAGGGGAATTATCGTCTCATTCGCGCTCCCCTCGTCGACGCACAGCCCTCTGACTGGCACACATGCTCCCTTTCTTTCCACTGCCTGTACATTTCCCTTCCTCTCCTCCTCCTTCACTCAGAATTGCTTTTGACTTGTCAAACGGAGGCCCTTAGCAGAAGGAACTCTCTCTGAAAGCAAGACAACTCAGAGGAATTTCAGAACTCTTTTTTTAAAAGGAATCTTATGACTTGCACACTGCTTTTGTACTGTGCATCAAGATATCACAATGTTTTATTTTATTTATTATTGGATTTATATCCCACCCGTCTAAACAAAAGTCTACCCAGGGCGGCTCAAAACATTAAACAAATAAAAACAAGGTCTCCGTTGTAGCAAAAAAGGCTAAAGAGGCTCCCCCCCACCTTTACAAAAAGAAGGATGATAGAAATGTGGATACACATGTGATGGCAGGTAGACCTGATGATCATTTTGGAGAGAGGGTAACCATGATATATTTTAATTTTCCTTCCATCTTTCACGAGAGTAGATCTGGCGCAGGGGAAGCAGGTAGGGCATTAAGCCAATGAGGCTTGTCAGGTAATGGGTTCCGGAAGGAAGCACTTTCTCACAAAATAAATAATCAGTGAAATGGACTACTACAAGATAAGTTATGTCAATACTAACTTCCAAGGGCTTTAAAAATATATATTTACTAGCTCCCTCTCCTTCCATGAGGGAACAGGAGGAAGATTTCAATTTCTTTAGATCATGACACAAGTTAAGCAGACAGTTTAAGATTTTTAAGCTTAGTTTTTTTCAGTGGCTGCTCCAAAACCACAGAACTCTCTTTCACAGACTAGGCTTGCGCCTTCCCTCCTGTTCTTCCACTGGCAGATTAAGGCGTTTCTTTTCAGTTAAGCTTTGAGCACTGATAGAGCTGCAGATAATGTTTTTAACATGGTATATCACCATGTGTTCTGTTATCACTCTTGCTACTCTGAGGTTTGTCCTTTAGTAAATGATCTGAAATTTCAGTATACTGTAGTTGCACTTCTTTCTAACAGGAGTAATGGACATTGCAGTACATCTCAACACCTGTTGCAGCACTGGGGGAGATGAAGTTACCATATTTTTCCATGTATAAGATGCCCCCGTGTATAACCCCCCCCCCTTTTCTAAATCAAAATTTCTTTCTTTGCAAGAAAGAAAGCTTTTCCCCAACATTTTAGTTGCAAAAAGCAGCTTTCCCCCTCCAGGTTTTGCAAAGAAAATGCAGGGGGAAAGCGATTGCTGCTTTCTCTCTACATTTTTGTTCCAAACGTTTTGCAATGAAAATGTAGGGGTAAAACAGAGATCACTTTCCATGTGCATTTTCTTTGCAAAACCTGGAGGGGGGAAAGCTGATGTTTGCAATGAAAATGTCGGGGGAAAGTAGGAATCACTTTCCCCCTACATTTTCTTTGCAAAATGTAGAGGGGGAAACAGGGATCAAAGCACTCTGATCCCTCTTCCCCTCCTTACTTTTCAGTATAAAACAATCCTCAATTTGTCCTTTAATTATTTTAGGAAAAAGTGTCATTTTATACACGGAAAAATACAGTAAGTCAAGTACTTGATCTGGTGACTCATCAGTAATTAAAACAGGCTCTTCTATTCTCTGGAGATTCTCCACAGGATCTGGTTAAAGATGCAAATCTCTGTGTTGCTATATTGGTGAGAAGTAGAGAGTGGAGATGTGGAATCAGTTAACCCTTTAATTATTTTAGGAAAAAGTGTCATTTTATACACGGAAAAATACAGTAAGTCAAGTACTTGATCTGGTGACTCATCAGTAATTAAAACAGGCTCTTCTATTCTCTGGAGATTCTCCACAGGATCTGGTTAAAGATGCAAATCTCTGTGTTGCTATATTGGTGAGAAGTAGAGAGTGGAGATGTGGAATCAGTTAACAGAGCTAAAGTTCTGGTTAAAGATGCAAATCTCTGTGTTGTTATATTGGTGAGAAATAGACAGTGGAGGTGTGGAATCAGTTAAAAGAGCTAAAGGTTAGCAACTCAAAGTCCTGTTATTTAGAATTCTAGTGGGATAGACAGCATTAGAAGTCGTTTGGGAGGGACTTTAACCTGTTTTACTGCAAAACCTTCGCTTCCAAAGAATCCTAGGACTGAAAAAAAAAAATCTCCCTCCCCGCCCCTCCAGAATTTTTTGGTCAGGAGCATCCAGGGCCCATGGAAATGGGTCACTAAAATCTGGGGCTTTTCAGGTGTCTTAGGGGTGGTGGTGGTGGTGGTCATATGCCTACCCTTGTGTGTGCTGCATAAACATCATGCGCTATGGTTGCATTCCTGCAGACACAACCAGATGGTCAGCAAGTAAAACACAACACACTGCATTGCAAAAACAAGAGGTCCCCCAACTATGAATTGCAGAATTGTCCTACCGCACAAAAGTAAATGTCAACGTAACAGAAACCTTTGGGGAAGGGGGAGTGAAAGAGAGAAGGAAAGGCTGACAAACAGGAAAATAATTCTGTTTACCCGTAAATGTCCAGGACCCCAATAAATGAATGTTGTTTGACGGTAGTGTGCAGGGCCTTGTTGATATGCTGTACGATCCAGTTGAACAGCTGGGCATAAATGTGCTTAGCCAGCGCATTCCTGGCATTCACGACCTGCTGGACAGACATGTTCTTGATGTAGGTCTCTGAAGTGGTGACCAGCTTCCGATGGCAAAGCCAGTGCTCCATTTGGCTGTGCTCCACGCCCAGCAATCTGCAAAAATTATGCAGGTGTTCATCCTGTTTCTAGGATATAAAGAAAGACATCCAATTCAGAAAAGCATGCAATAGCTGCTGTAAGCAGACGACAAGGACCCACCTAATTCCTCGATTTGACTGAGGATTTGACTTCTTTTCTTTTCTTTTAAAGGGATGAGCTTTGTTTCAGAGACCCTGTTACAGTCTGGTTCATTTCTAGTTTGGGTGCCACTCTGATTCAGTTTATAATAAGTTATGGCATATACATAGATCATCAAGACATTTAACAGTAAGACTAGCATTTTATCTAGAGTGCCCAAGTACCGTTTATTGATCCAAGCTATTCCCTGTTGTTTAGGCAGAAGTTAAGATTCATCTCCTAGATATTGGGGTAGTTTTCGGTAGCTTAGCAATAGTTCCTTTGAAATCCAGTTGCTTACCAAGATGAACAAAACCAAGCAGTCTAAATTAGACAGCTAAAATTTTGTTCTGGGAGAAAATACCACAATTTCAGCTCTGGGAGTAAAAAACAGAATTCTTGGGCTCATGCTCAGGGGCAGCTTGTTTTATAATTCCAAATGTATCAGGCCAAAACAAAATACAAATATTAAATAAATAAGGCAAAAAAAAATAAAGATATCTTAAAGGCCATGTAATCCCACTCCTATGTCTGAGGAAGTGAACTTGTCCACAGAAGCTAACATTAAAGTGTAGCAGTTAGTCTTTAAGGTGCCACAACGTTTTTTTATTTTAATTTTGTTTTTGCCTGATAAGCCAGCACAGACTAATACAGTTGCCTCTTCTAAAATTCCAAGAGTATGTCACAAACTATTATTTTATCCTGACTTCAGGTGGTGGCTGCAGAGAGATAACTGCACAAAGGTCAGAGGATGTAAGCTTAGTGGTAGAATACATGGTATAAATGCCAAAGGCCCAGATTCAATCCTCAGCCATCTCCAGGTAGGGCTGGAAAAATTCCAGGCTAGAACCCTGGAAAGCCACGGCCAGCTCATCTTGACAACCCTGGGCTAAATGGACCAAGAGGCTTGACTTGGTAGAAGGGAGCTTTTCATGAGGTGTTACCTTACCTCCAAGGGAAAGGATGCCACTATTTTAAATAAAATAAAGGTTCCAGCCCCAAGTGCTAGTTTTCTCATTCTCAGCCCCATCATCTAATACAGGGGACTGGATGCTTCCACCCCAAACCTAATCTACATGGCAACCCAGTAGATTTTTCTGTTCTTATCTCTAATCAGTAATGTGTCATGAGTTCAGCTGTAGAAGATCTGGAATCTGAAGGTTTAATTACAGCTGAGGAAAATCCTGGGCAATTAGAAGCACAGACAGCTGAATCACCACCAGATTCTCCTTCCCCAGTAGCCAGAGTAAGGGACAAGCTTTGGCAAGGACTCACGACATGGAGATCCGAAGCCCGCATGAATGCTTCCCATAGGAACATCAGGTCGACTAGCCCTGAGTTTTAGCAGGATGATGACTGTTGCTGCTATATAATCTGCACCCAGAGGCTTGGAAGTTTGTGGAAGCAATAAGTCAACACTCTGACTTGCATCCATGCTCGTCCTCATCCTGGACCTTGTTCTCTGGACCCTTGGTTTTGGACTCTGACTTCTGACTACGGTTTGTGTTTTGGCTTTGGCATTTTGGTATCTGCTTTGCATCTTCTGGACTTCTGATATTGGACTGGCTTATTGGACTTTTGCCTGTTGAAATCCCCTGGGAATGTGATATAATGGAAGACTGGAGATAAGAGACTATTTCAGCCTCAGAAGGAACCACTGGGTGATTTGTGGTTGTCATAAATGAGTTTACCTATTCCATATCAGCTTTCTGCAACCCATGAAAGCTGGGGCAGTTGGAGGAGGCTGGAAACTTGCTATAATGTAAGACCACCCCAACTCACACTGCAACTTGTGTTTTACAGAGCCACTAAAGAATGAGACATGCATTATAAGAATGCTGATATGTAGCCCCCCCACCTGATATTTCCAGAAAGCAGATAAAAAGGGTGACCTAACCAAGCACTTCCATAGCCTGCAATTTTCTCCAGACAACTTCCTTAACATTAGAAATTACAAATGCTGTCTCACATTGGACAGCAAATTCTAGGTGTCCTGAAAATGCAGCAATTATTTAATCTATCATTTTCCAAAAGAGAAGAGGTATTTGTGGGATTCTCTCATGTGGCAAAGGAACTTGGTCGCCTTCGGATTCTCTGCACCTTGGCCTGCATGAATGAGATGTATTACGTATATGCTCCTGTATTACGTACTCACAATACAGCTCAGGAGACCCCTGAAAGGTATATTTCTGAACATTATCAAAACCCATCATTTCAAATAGCAGTGTTCTTCTGGCAGGATGGTCAACGAGGCCTGCCTATGATAAAAATCCTTTTGAGCTTTTAAGACACGCAGATGGACATCTTGAAGACAGCCCTTAAGGCCTGTGGGTATCCCAAATGGGACTTTAACAAGGCCATGTTCCGACCTAGTAGGACCACGGAACAGTCTGAGACCCAGAGCCGATAGAAGAACCTGGTCATTCCTTACATGGTGGGTGTGACTGAAAAAGCTCAAAAGGATTTGTGGTAAACACCACGTACCTGTGCACTTCACAGCCACAAACACACTAAGGCAGAGACTCGTCTACCCAAAGAATGGACACCAAAAGACAACAATATACTGTAGTATATGCAGTCCAATGCAAAGAGGAGTGTTCGGAGCTCTACATCAGAGAAACCAAACAGGCACTGAACAGGAGGAGCAACGGTTCAGGACCACAATCAGCAGTCTTCCTTCATTGGGAGGACAAAGGTAATTCATTTGATGACCAAGGTGTACTCATTTTGGACTAAGAAGATAGGTGGTTTGAGAGAGGGGTCAGGGAGGCTTTAGATGTGCATATAGAAAATCCCTCACTCAACAGGGGTGGAGGCCTTAGATACAATTTTTCTCCTATTTATCATGTTGCCCTTTCATCCATCCCCAGAAAGATAAGGACCACACACAACAGAAAGACCACGACAATGAGTGGCGGACTGCAGAAGTGGGATTTTCACTCAACCCCCCCATCCTTTGTCCATCTAATGAGCCTATTCAGACCAGGGGGAAGTGAAACGAACCGGGAGAATATATCAGGGTTCTCCTACCAAATCTTCTCAGACTGAAGAAGCTACTTGGATCAGGAGTGAAACGTTTCAACCTAGTAAGAAAGAAGTCCAGTTGCCATGGTTCAACTTCCAGACAAACACCCTTTACTTCCTAAGGCATCTCTGCTTCTAAACACAGTTCTTCCCTTGGGGATGGGGTGGGGAATGTGTCACTTTCTAGGTATTTTTGGACTGTAATGTTTATCACCTTTCTCAATAGGGGATGCCATCTAGGGCTAATGGGACAACACCCAGAAGTCAAAACATTCTCCATCCTAAATCTAAGATCTTCTGATGCTTTTCACACAGAAATACCGGGCATTAAGGAGCTATCTTCTTGCACCCTCAAGAAACAGATAAAATGCCCAGGTTGTACGAAAACGGTGAGAATCCTTCTGGAACTGATGGTTATGCTGGAGAATTATGCTGGAGAATTAAAACCTCTGAGAGCTAGCCTGTACCTCTGCCCTCTCATTTATGATCTCTACAGCTTAGGAATGCACGAACAGGTCAAAGAGTTTAATCTCAAGGTTCCTTTTTGGACTAGCCATCTGATTCAATGTACTTCCAGGACACCCACAAGCACAGAACAAAGGAAACAGTCTTATCTGTTACTGCTTCCTTGGACTGTTAGTTCCTGAAAGTTACTTTTGAAAAGAAAATAGTTACAGTTCCAAGTCATCACCTCCAACCTTTGTAAGTTACTGCTCTAGATGCAATCTTTAAATAATTCCATCTGTAGTTGAAGAAGCAGTCTGCAGTTCATGAAAGCTTATGCCCAATTTTGAAAAACTGTTACTTCTCTTTTCCCCCCCAATAGTAATGAAAATAAATACTATTCATTACTGAAAAGAGAAAAAAAATTCAAAGCTACAAGCCACAGGACTGTGGTATCCAGAACAGTGTCTTCCAGTCTGTCTCCTTGTTGCTTCTGTGCTCACAAAAAAAAGAGCACAAACCACCAGCACAAGACCTCCTTGTTGCTTCTGTGCTCACAAAAAAAGAGCACAAACCACCAGCGCAAGACAGGACTTCTGCCATGTGATATTTCTCTTCTACTTTTTTTGTAAGTTCACACCCTCATAAATATAAAAGCAAAGAAAAAACTGTAATAAACCATAAAAGAATTGATGCCAATCTTCATTAAGTTACAACGGCAACATAATGCAATTATACCTTTGTTGTTGGGGAAAGGAACTGATTATAACTAAGCTGTTATTTGTAACTGGTTGGTTCCATGCCTTGGATGTTGATTGCCTCTGAACATGGATGTTTCATAAACCAATCATGCAAGCAATTTGAAAAGAACGCAAACAAGAAAAATGAGGTCGAGTCAAGGGATGGGTTATGCCAAGCTACGTTCTTCTCTGCACCACCACATTTTTTTACATCAAGTTGCCTTGTCACTAATTAAATGAGTTAACAGACGGAGCTAGCATCACAGAGCTATGCTTACATTTTAATTAAATAACGGCAATATAATTAAGGGGAGACACTATAAAAGAAGATTTGCTTATGTATACAGTTTGTCAAAGCCCTCAAATTAAATAGCCCATTGCACCATCTCTCGGGCAACAGCAGCATCACTCCAAAGCACATCTCTCTATTTTAATTTTTTTTTTTAAAAAAAGAAAAGTGATCTTAACATGACATGATAACTGCCCATCGATTTATAAGAAATGGTACTATAGGACTACATTTTTACTGTTAGTATAATAAACACACAAGGAAGAAAGAAGCACTGCTCATGAACCCTCACAAATGTTTTGTTCTCCAACTCTGGTTGATTACAGCCATGTGTTTTGTTTCAATGCCTGCACCACTGTTTTTCAGAACAGCAACATCTCATTTTTACATCAGATATAGAAGATCTTGCTTCTGAGGGCACGTTTTGGTCCATCCTTAAAGCCGACATGCTGGGAATCAGATAGCTCCAATCCTAGAGCACAGGCCAGCAGAAATTTGCTTACACAACCTCATTTTACGAATGGCAGCTGTGCCATTCATAAAGGTCTCTATCTTTTCAAAGGCTCTACCCATTATTAATGGCTGCCTCCTCTGGCCTTGAATGCTTTGTGACACATGTCACGTTCCTCTTTCAAAGCCGGCTCTTAAGTCAACTCTGAACATTCAGCCACATGGTGATGCTGGCTTTGGACTTTCCCACTCTTGAGTGTCTGGAGCTGCTGGTTCACAACCTCTATGCTGGGAGACATGGAGACAGCCATTAACGTTGAGGAGTTTAAAAGATCACAGAACTGTAGAGTTGAAAATGACCCCAAAGGGTCACTTAGTCCAACCCCCTCCCAACAAAGGAATTCCATAGCTAAAGCATGCTTATGAAATGACTATCCAGCCTCTATTCAAAACCCTTCGATGAAAGAGAGTCTACCGCCATTTCACAACTCTGATTGTCTTCCTAAGGTTTAGTCAGAAACTCCTTTCTTGTAATTTGCATTCACTGATCCTACGTTTGGATCAAAACAAAGAAAGCTTGCTCCGCTGTGGTCCAGTAAGTTCTAGAAGCCCAATGCTGGGAAAGACAACTTAAACTAGACGGATAAACACCAAGACCAGGATACTAGAAAAAATACCCTATCATTCCATACTATTCCACATCTGCTTTCATCCTCCTCATTGTTTAAAGGAGGTGCAACTCATTCCTTACTGCCCCCCAATGGTGTTTAGATACTAGATGAATAACTTCTTATTCCATACAGCCAAGTTGTTTCATAACTAGTTATTTTCTTGATATGAAAAAAAAAACAAAAACCTTTGTCCACCATATCCGCTTGATATTAAGGTTAAAAAAAATCATTGTCCTGAAGCCTTTATACCTTTTTAAAAAATTAGTCATTGCCCTAATTTGTTTAGAGATAAAAATAGAAAGGGAGAGATGTTTAAAAACCCAGAGAAATATTTTAAACAAAGACACACTGGCCAGCATAATCTCACTAGTTTAGTGACTGCACTGGTAGTTTTGTAGTTGACTGACAAAAAGCATCTTTGGAGAGGAGTTCTGGTAAATCATGCTGTTCACTCTGGAGGCACTGATGCTTCGAAGACCAGCTTATTCCAGATCCTTCCTTGCTCCCCCATGCTCAATCTGCACATTTATAAACAGGTATCATAAAATGCAACCATTCACAATGCTTCCTGCTCAGAACAACAGCTGCCCCAATGAGGCAAACAGGAGTGCTAAAATATTCTAAGACAGGTACAATACAGTATAATGCTGAAAGAGCCCTAAGCTATTTTGTTGGGGTTTAGGGGCAAATCAAATCACAGATGACGTTTTCTATGCCTATTAAGAACTTACTGATATACTGCAGGACTCTCCATCACGTTCCGATTGAAGGTCCACATTTCCAAGGTGGAGGATGCCGGCAAGTATCTTAAAAATCGTCATTTGATGGGACTCCTTCACTCCTGAAAGGAATTCATATCCAGTTTTCAGCAAAAGACCTAAACAGTCTGATTTAAGGCCCCACCTTGAGAAAGTCAGTCTTCTCTTAAAAACAACCAATGATAAAAAAGTGTCCATTTATCACAGCCCGAAAACGTAGTTGTAGAAACAATGCCTGTTCAAATTACAAACATCAAAGAAGACAGCTGAATTCGTTTTGGTTAGCCGGAGATGGGGCTTCAGTGACCACCTCTATGACACCCAGAAGAATCATTATTCTCTGGGGATGGGGCCAACCTTCCTTAGACATGAACTAGGCTTTCAGGCCAGACAGGTTCATATGGGAGTAAGTATCCTTGGCCTGATTAACTGATTGGATTTCTATCTCATCTACCTTTCCAGAATAGGATTACAACAAAATAGAATAAAGCAGATAATATTGAAATACAGTGGTGCCGTGCTTAACGCTTACCCCGCTTGATGACGAATCCACTTCACAATGATGTTTGAATGGTTTTTTTTTTCGCTTTGCGATGATTGGTTCCCTGCTTCGGGAACCGATTCTTCGCATTACGACAATAAAAAATAGCTGATCGTCGGGTTTCAAAATGGCTGCCAGCTGTAAAAAATGGCTCCCCACTGTGTTTAGGAAGGCTTTTTCACAAGACAGGGAGCAGAAAATGGCCGCCCTATGGAGGATCTTCGCTGGAAGTTATTCAGCTCGTTGGAACGCATTGAACGGGTTTTCAATGCATTTCAATGGGAATTTTTTATTTTGCTTGACGAGGATATCGCTCAACAGCAATTTTGCTGGAATGGATTATCCTCGTCAAGCGAGGCACCATTGTACAAAACATATTCGAGCATTAAAGATTAAAAACCCAACAGTGAGGGAAAACAGAGCACCCACCTAGTGAAAAGTTCCTTCTATAGTTCAAAGGCCCACCTGAATGAAAAGATCATTGTCTATGGCTGGAAAGACAGCAGAGAAGGGTCACACCTAGCCTTTCTCAACGGAGTTTGGGAAGTTGGAATGATATCCAAATATGATTATGAAGGGTACAGAATCAAGGAAAGGTCTTCTGGTCTTGGTCTGAATGCATTTAGGGCTTTAGAAGTGAGCCCATTCAGGCTTTATACCTGAAAATGTAGAGTGCTGTGAAGGAGAACAGCCTAGTGTGCCGTCCTCCGAGGAAAACAGTTAGTGACTGGTTGCGCTGTAGGAGAACTGATTCAGATAGATGAAGGAGAAGTACGATGGAACAAAGCAGTAGAGATATTCATGGCAGAGAGTAGACAAGCCAAGGAAGGGGAGGAGCTAGATTTTATGAGGTGGGATGAGAGTGTAAAGGAGGAGGAAGGGAGAAAAGGAGGGAGGAAGCATGATGTTGAGAGAGAAGACAGAGCTGTGCAGACTGAAGAAAAAGGGCTACAAAGGTATGAGCCTGTCGAGTTAGTCTGTGAGTTCCCAAACCTCAGAACGGGAGGAGGTTTATTACCAGATCCCCCAAGCTTAGTGGAGAAAGACAAGCCTAAGTTGAAGGCAGGATGGAGTATGGTAGCGGTGCCATGCTCCCAAGATATAGGGAAGAAAGTAACTTACATTGGTACAACCAGTTACGATTTGTGCAGCCTCGAGTTTCCCAACCTGGAACCAAACCGTTCAAACCCCTCATGGGATGAAGAGGGAGTGAAGGGAGTAAAGAAGGTGAATGGAACGAACGTTAAGAGTTACAAGTTACTACCAGAGTTGAGTTTGTTGGACCCTTTTGGCGTTGACAATCCAGAAGTTAAAAAGAATAAGGAAGCTCTGTTTGTACCGTTATCTTCGTCTCCATCTATTTCTCCCGCAGAAAAGAAAGACCCACCCCCAGCAGAGAAAGAACCCAATCACAAGTGCCAAAATTATAGCGGGAGACACGGAAGCACAAGTAAGCCCTGCCACCAGACCCTGAAGTGAGGCAGACTTCTGCATTGTCAATGTGACGGTCTGGGGAGGAAACTAAACTTCTACCATGCCCACCTAGCGGCAAGACACTACTCCAGGTGGCTTACAATGGAAATAAACATCACATTAAACAATAAACATAAATTAACACAACAGACAGAAAAACAAACCCTTTTAAAACCCAACTATATTCAAAAACAACATCTAACTCTCAGAATGGCAGCAACAGTGGTATCAGTTAAACAATAGACACAGGGCAGCCAATAATTAAATAATTAGTAGATTTAAGTTGGAAGGACAGATCCTGAAGCTGAGGCTCCAATACTTTGGCCACCTCATGAGAAGAGAAGACTCCCTGGAAAAGACCCTGATGTTGGGATAGTGTGAAGGCAAGAGGAGAAGGAGACAACAGGGGACGAGATGGTTGGACAGAGTCACCGAGGCGACCAACATGACTTTGACCCAACTCTGTGAAACCATGGAAGACAGGAGGGCCTAGCGTGCTCTGGCCCATGGGGTCAAGAAATGTCATACATGACTTAACGACTAAACAACAACAGAATTAAGTAAGGGTAAGGCTTTCAAAGGCCTGAGTGAAAACCCACGTTTTAATTTGCTTTCTAAATTTAATTTGCTTTCTATTCAACTGAACATGCCAGAGTGCTCCTTTATCAAAGCTCTCAATCACGGGAGCACTATCAGTGCTTCTGTAAATCTTCGCCCTGAATATAGAAATGTGTGTCTCTTACTTCTGGATGGTGTGAGGATGTGCAGACAGGGCTTATGTGGTTCCCCATCTTTTCTTTTCTTTTGGCCCTGCACCACTTTCATTCATAATGTCTGAATATAGTCAGCAAACACTTTAAAATTGCTACAGAGCAGCTCAGGGAACCAGGGTAGCTAGACCAGAATAGATATTCTCACCACCAAACAGCTGCCTTCCGCATAAATTGAAAATTCTACACTATTTTCAAAGAAAGCTCCATTTACAGAATGTTACAGTAGTCCAGTATGGATGTGAACAGAGGATAGACGATTAGAGTGAGGTTTACTTTTTCCAGATGGGGACAGAGTTTCTGTACAAGCCAAAATCAATGGCATCTCTCCACGACATCAAAGGCAGCACTGAATCCAGCAGGATCTCCCCTACCCCCCAAAAAAACCCTACACACAAGATCTTTTAAGCAAGAGTAGAACCTCATCTGACACTGTTCACACATAGCGTGGCAGGGGGGCCACGGCTCTCGGCATCAAAGCCCTGGGACGTCCCCTGGGGGGGAGGCAGTGAGTCTAGCCATGGAGTCCATCATAATGAGCACCTGCACTTCAAAATTTAGCCTGGTGCTGCTTGTCTCCTCTCTCCAACAAGGAATTTTGACTAAGAATCTGCTTGTTGCTGCCATCCATTCCAAACTGGCCTCCAGGCACTTGATCCGGATGTCTGCAATCTGCTTAGGACTCAATGGAAAAGAGAGAGAAGCCTGAGTCTCATCCACATACTTCACTCCAACCCTACAAATGATATCCTCCCCCCCCTCACTGGGCTGCTTTTTGATATGCCCAAGTATACAACCCTCAAGGTCTCTAAGCTACTCCAAAGACCAGTAGCCATACGGAAGAATAGGACTTAAGACATACTTTCTGGATGCCTCTAAGACCAGTAGCCATACGGAAGAATAGGACCTAAGACATACTTTCTGGATGCCTTCCAAAGAATGAACCAAAGCCACTCCTTGAAACCTCATGTACCTCAAATACATATTAGGTAAAGGTAAAGGTTCCCCTTGACAATTTTTGTCCAGTTGTGTTCGACTCTAGGGGGCGGTGCTCATCCCCGATTCCAAGCCATAGAGACAGCGTTTGTCCGAAGACAATCTTCCGTGGTCACATGGCCAGTGCGACTTAGACACGGAACGCCGTTACCTTCCCACCAAGGGGGTCCCTATTTATCTACTTGCATTTGCATGCTTTCAACCCGCTAGGTTGGCGGGAGCTGGGACAAACGACGGGAGCTCACTCCGGCGCATGGATTCGATCTTACGACTGCTGGTCTTTTGAGCCTGCAGCACAGGCTTCTGCGGTTTAGCCCACAGTGCCACCACGTCCCTTAGGTTTACCATAAGTCAGAAGTGACCTGACCACACATAACAGCAACAGAGGGCTAGCCAGGTCCGACTGAAGAGCTTACAGGGCCACCATCTTGTTTCTCTCCGCTGTCAATCTAGATAATTCTTGGAAGCCCACAAGCAAAACTCAAGGGGAAACACTCCTCTGCTGGTGCTGTATCCAGCAATTTAGAAAGGTGCTGTGGTCCAATCCTCAACGGAATCAGTACACAACTTTCATTACTAGTAACGAATGACAGCTGTCCATAAACCTGTCTATCCCTCTTATTTGCTGGCTGTCTTCAAAGCTCTCTTCACTGAACTCAAGTCTAGCTGCAGTGAGTGAAGAAATAAGTTACTTTCCAATGGGCTGACTCGATAGACGTAGCGGGTGTTCTAACATCTCATTAGCCCCTAAAACCCTACCAACACCATTTGAAGAGATCCCTTTCAGAAGCTATATCAGATTCCACTGCCTGTTTTGGTTTTTGAGGAAATTTCTTTTGTATCTCACATATTTTACAGCCCAAGTGCACCTGAACCGTGATCACCCCATGAGTCTCCCTGTCTCACATGGAAAAACAGGAACGCAATCAACCGAAGGGTCAAAGATGCAGCTAGCACAGCAGATATTGCTGCACAAATCTATTGCCTCCTCGAACTCCTATTTTAATGTGTGTGTGGTAGGTTGACAACACAGGAAATCTCATCTGGATGAGGTGATTAGTATGGCCCAAACAGACATTTTAAAAAAATGGAAAAGGACACAAACAATGAGTAATTAACACTGCACCTTCTACTTAAGAGTTTTCTATATAGGGCAAATAAGGAGAGAAAAACAGCTGATGGACAAATGTTATCTTATAGGTTTAATTTCTAAAATTCTAATTCTAAGTTTAATTCTAAAACCTTAAATGCCTTCAGACTAAGACCAGAGGAAGGAAACCCCCATGAGTCACATCAAATGATTTTTCAATTGATCATTTAATCTGCATGAACTCTCACAGTAAGAAACAAATTTGAATAAAAGGAAAGTCATGGAAGGATTCTTCATTCCTATGGTTACTTATTCCTAACTGATGCTGGTTGTGATTTTTTGCAACTTCTTCCATTAAAAACAACTTTTAAAATCATCTACTTGCTTTAAAATATTCAGTGTCTTAATCCACAAGGTAAACCAGTTAATTAGTGAACACAGCCTCCTAGATAACGGTGTTAACAAAAGCATTAAAAAAGTTGTGACCTGGGATTTCAAATTGCACAGACAGAAAAGCAAAGTAAAGCCAACTGATTTCTAATAAGCACAACCCTAAACCTCCAGGAGTCATGCCATCACATTAAAGCCCCTAAACTGCAGTACTGCAGCCAAACCTCTGCTCATGACCTGGGTTCAATCCCAGGTAGCTGGCTCAAGGTTCACTCAGCTTTCTATCCTTTTGAGGTTGGTAAACTGAGTGCCCAGCTCAGCTGGGTGGGTGGGCGGCAATGTATAGCCTGCTATCTATCTATCTATCTATCTATCTATCTATCTATCTATCTATCTATCTATCTATCTATCTATCTATCTATCTATCTATCTATCCATCTATCCATCTATCCATCTATCCATCCATCCATCCATCCATCCATCCATCCATCCATCCATCCATCCATCCATCCATCCAGCATGTTTTGCTTCTACATGGTTATTCAAAGTCTTTGTGAAGAAGTGGAGTTTTGTCCAAATGCTCTACCAGGAAACTACCCATTTTATCTTAAGAATAAGCCCTTACCAAGCAAAGTAAAAGCATTCCTGGTTCTCTCAAAATCTTCTGCATCATCTACTCCATCAATCGACGTTTCTCCTCCCAGAGATGTGTAATAAAAGTCTTCCGCAGATGCTAGAAGAGAAGAAATGGAGAATGCAGGATAGTAAAAGCAAGGAGAAAAGCCAACTATTAACCTATATCAAGGTTAGCACAATTTTAATGCATGTGTCTGGGCAGGCAACACCATACGTATTATTTTGCATGTGTATGTATCTCAAACCATAGCATAAAAACCTGCAAGGTAACTTCAGAGAAAAACATGTGGCTTGTTCAAGTGATAACATCTGCTCAACATTCCCAGCTTTTGACAGGGGAGGCCTTCTAGTATTGGAACCCACCCTGCCTACTCTGATGCATTTAACTTGAGGCAGCAAAGTTCTTGTTCTCCAAAGAATTTCAAAATGCTACACTTAAGGTGCTACACTTCACCTTAAGACAGGTTGGGTGACATGGACGAAGGCTGCAACTATATTGACAAATCATGTAAGAAATGCTCTGAGATTAGGACTGTCAGATTCATATTATTTTCTGTTGACTACATGACATTTGTTCAGGTAGCTCTACTTGAAAAGCTGGATGGCTACAGTAGAGCTGGTTTAACAAGGTGCTAATAAATGCTGATTAGCACCTTTCTCCTTTCTTTCTAATGACTCCTATATGACTCATTCAAGTGAATTTACTGAGGGAATCCTGACTTCCTGGGTGTGAATTCATAGTAGATTAGTTGCAGTTGCACCCAAAAGCAGTTGCACCCAAACACACACATACATGCTGTCCATTTAGGGGACTCCTGGATCATTCACTCCCCTTCTATACATAGGAAGATGTGGTGGAATCTGGATTAAGGAGGGGCTAGTGCCCATAATGTCTTCTCTTCAGCTTCTAAGTTCAAGCACAGCCTTACTTTAGTGAAAATTAACATATTAAATTGGTCTGTTTAAAATGGAAGCCTTCTGGAAGCAATTTTCTGTGGGAGTAAAGTCTTCAATGCATCCCGAGGGCTGAAGGGTGGGGATGGGCCCCCCAGCAGTGGGTCATTTCACATGACACGGTGACACACCTATTTGCTGGCTCACCCAAGGCTTCAACATGAGTGAGCTTGAAAAAAACATTTACCATAATAATCCTGCATTGGAGAAATAAAACATTTTCCTTTTGAAATTGATTTGTAAAAAAACACAAAAACAAGGGAATACATTCCTGACTTCAGGAAGTGCATTTCTACTTAAAATGTGTATTTTCTACCTAACTGTCCATATAAAGGAGACTAACAACTCTTTTTTCATGATTAGTTCAATGCTTCTGCCTGATTAACTGTGCATGCTGTGAACCCTTCCTAAGGACAGTGCACAAAGTCCTTCTCTTCATAAGTTTTCTTTTTATTTTCCTTTAATCACAATGGCATAGCTTTCTTTGAAACTTTCTTAGGCATTTCAACAATCGTTGCAAGATGTGGTTCATGATGATTTATAGGCCAAGCAAAGAACCCGCCAGGCAGGCAGAGATCTGCTCAGAAAAACTGTATTACACTGTGTTTTGTTTTTTAAAGTACAGTACAGAAGTATACCTCTGTCTATGGTTGTCAGACCTTGGAAAAAGAACTTTCATGGACCACAGCTCCCTGAATTTGCCAGTCACCACAGCCAATCGGCCATGATGGCTGGAGGAATCAGGGAGCTGGGAGTCCAAAAACTAACTCTCCCATGCTCTCATGTGGTTTGTCTCCTGATACTGAGGTGCCCTGCTAGACGATTGCCTCGCAAAACAGTTTATTTGCTAGACAATGAGTTTTTGTGATCGCTATAGTGTTTCGGTCCGTTCTTCGCAAGACGGGTTGTGGGGGTTTCGGTCCGTGCTTCGCAAGACGGGTTGTGGGTTTTTTTTTTTACTGATTTTCGCAAGACGACGATTTTTGACAGCTGATCCGTGCTTCGCAAAACGGTTTCTCTATGGGCGATTTTCGCAAAACAACGGCGATTTTTCCCCATTGGAACACATTAAACAGATTTCAATGCAATCCAATGGGGAACCGCATTTCGCAAGACGATGTTTTCGCAAAACAGAGATTTTCGCGGAACAAATTAGCATCATCTTGCGGGGCACCACTGTACCAGCGATTTTCGCGGAACAAATTAACATCATATTGAGGGGCACCACTGTACTTCTAAACTGAGGCATCAGCTAACAAATGCATGCACACACTCTGATTTCCCAAGACATGCACCTGGATGCATGGAAGGACCTAACTGGAAAGGATTATAACTGAGGTAACACTGAGTTGTAGAAGTGCACTTGATATTTCAACAGAGGAGAGGTTGTTCACACATGCCTATTGGCCACTTGAGGCTAAGAGCCATCAAGTAACTAGCACGTACATGTGAATTAGCTTCAAGTACTATACAGTATCTGCCAGGCCTGAGAAATCATTGATCATCCAGAAGTTTTAGACTACAACTCTCATAATCTCTTAACACTCATCACCGTGGCTGTGTGTCTCAGGAAATGAAGTCCAAAACATGTGGAGGACCAAAAATCCCAGCTCCTAATATATTCTCTATATTCAATAGGTATGAACAAGATGAAATCTGTTTTAGAAAACTAGGGTGCATTTTCCAGGGTCATTCCACTTTCTCCCCCAAATACACTCACAGATTCAGGCCATCAGTTTCTGTAGGCCATCTTATTAGGTTTCTGCCAAGGGTTTCCTCCCCTGTTGTATACAAGATGCAGACCCCTCAGCCCTTTCTCTGTCCTCCCCTCTCTATCTCAGCCCTACTGTGTCTTTATCCTCTTCCACGGCTACCGTAACAGCCACCATAATGTAAACTGAGCTGTCTAGGTTTTTGAAACCCCTCTTGCTTAAATTTTAAGAGGACGCCTGCTTCTAGACATAAAACACATCTAGGCACACAAAGGCCGTCAGTCAAAAAGCTTACGTACATACATGTGCTTACAATAAGTACAGGATGTAATGAACGTATAAGTTAGGTTTAGCATAGAAGGAGATTAAGTAAAAGTAAAAAAAATAAGTTTTTTAAAAATTGATTTGTGCTGGCTATTTATAGTTGCATACAGAAACTGCTTAAGTCATGGCGGCAAATTGCAGCTCATCCGTGAGGTGCTGACAGTGTTCCTGAGTACCAGGAGCACAATAAGCACTTCATTAATAAACAACAATTTGCTACTGATTTTTCAAGCTCACCAATACATTTGTGGCCATCGGCTTAGAATAGAGCAAGGATGTGGGCAAGTCTTGGGACCCTGAGCCTCAATTCTGAGTCTTCAGGTCAGAGTCCCATAGACTCAAGACTGCGCAGCAACTGCCCAGCTGATAGGCCACAGCGCATGCACAGAGACAGCAGGCCTCCCTATCTGCTGCCACTACCATTGACCCAGCTGCCACAACTGCCTGCCGCCTGCCGTTTTTAGAGGCAGCTGGTCTGGCTTTCCCTTTCAGGAGCATGCTGCTGCCTCCACCCATGCACGTACCAGTCAGCTGAAAGGCTAGTGAGTGAGCAGGGGTGGGGCCAGCTTCAGAAAGGGAAGGCCCTATAGGGACTTGATAACACGACTGGGGCACATGGGTCGAAGTCAAGAGTCCCCCACCCACCCAGAAACTCGTGAGTCGAGTGCAACTCCAGTCTCCAGTGTGGCTGAAATTGGACTCAGCCATGAGTCACGACTTGCTGGTCTGCATTGCTGGAATATGGGCTTTTGGCTCTGATGAACGACTATAGTTGCCCAAAAGGTGCCCGGGCTTGGGAAGCCCCATCTGCCATGGGTAACACCTGCTCTCTAAGGACCTCACTTGGATGGACTCAAGGAGGCTTCTCTTTTGCTACACAATAATCCTTGGAAAGTACCAACAATTTTCTGTCAATGAAGTGGGATTTTTTTTAAAAAAAAGAAACAGCAACAACCTTAGAATTGATTTCAACACACTCTTCAAGCTTTTCAAAGTTAAAACAAAAATCAATTTCAAACAAAGCCACTGGATGTTTGGGTCTGTCTGCTTGCCGTTGAAAAAGAGAACATTTCAATCTGAAAATAAATACACAAACACTCACTGAGAGACAAGCCCGGCTGGAGGGCAAAGAGGCTTTCTCTTCTCAAAAGCTTGAAAGTCAACAGAGAAAACATAAATATTTCCCATTCTGTTTAATACCTTGCAGGGACAACCTCAACATGTGCTCAGTTTTCTACAATTTCTGATTTTTTTTTCTATTAAGTGTTTTCCCTCCAGACACCGGAGTTAAAAGCTACTGTCTTAATACGATGAAAGAGGCTTTCCTTCTTATGCCTGGAGGTAGTATCATTTCTTTTTTCTTTTCTGTTCCCTATTTCTATTCCCTCTATTTTCACTCCTGTACTGCAGTAAGTCCCGGACCCTTTGTGCATGGCAGGAGAGGAAGTTGAACACTTTCCATATGCATTACCTCTGACACATTTTTGGTATTACCTGGCAGGATAAAGCTCCAAACAGAGTAGTCCTAGAATGAGCTGGAATTTTTAGCATGTATACATTACTGAAATAATGACGCCTATGTTGGCTCAGGCATGTCATGAGAATGGCGGACGATCGGATTCCAAAAGATCTCCTGTATAGAGAATTAGTGCAGGGAAAGAGCCCAAGAGATAGAGACCACAGCTGCGTTACAAGGACATCTGCAAGCGGGATCTGAAGGCCTTGGGAATGGACCTCAACAGATGGGAAACCCTGACATCTGAGCATTCAGCCTGGAGGCAGGCGTTGCATCATGGCCTCTCCCAATTTGAAGAGACCCTTGTCCAGCAGGCCGAGGCCAAGAGACAGCCATGAAAGCAGGCAAATCAGGACAGGGGACAGATTGCGTTTGTCTTCAGTGTAGAAGGGATTGTCACTCTCAAATTGGCCTCCTCAGCCACACTAGATGCTGTTCCAAGTCCTCCATACAGAGCACGTTACCATAGTCTCTCGAGACTGAAAGATGCCTACAATTCTATTCCCTACTCCAACTTAAGCTATCTGACATTCTGAATAGGATCTCTGTTTTTTTCTATATCCTGACTGTTTTTTCTAAAGAGGGAATTCCAACCCATGTTAACTTGAGAAATCTAATATAAACTACAGTCTAGAATCTAGAAATATATCTACACTACACAGTTATGGTAGCGAGATGCCATCTTAGCTGTCATGGCTCCATCCTACAAAAATCACAGGATGTGTGGTTTAATAAAATACTCAGAATTTCCTGCTGTAGTTCAAGGAAGGATACTAGAGCTCTCTGGTACAGAATGCCAAGTACTTCACCAAACTGCAAATCTCAGGATCCCACGGCAGCTGAAGTGGCATCAAATTTTTATAACTGTGCAGCACTGGATGGGAGAAAGCAAGCTTTGAAATTCTCTCTCAGATATAAAGCTAACTAGAATATAAAATGGCCATGCCGTGATTCTGCTGCCTAACCCACTACAGGGCACAAAACATATGTGCCATACTATTTAGTGACTACTCGTTAATCAAACTATTAGCTGGTTGTTGTGGGTTTTTCGGGCTCTTTGGCTGTGTTCTAAGGCTTGTTCTTCCTAACATTTCAGCAGTCTCTGTGGCCAGCATCTTCAGAGGACAGCACTCTGTGCTCTGGTGTAGTTTGCTTGGGAGTTGAGTACTTATGGCTGTGAGATAGGCTTTTGTCCTTTTCAGGAGATGGGTGATTAGTGTGTCTCGTTGTGGGTGTATTGTTGTGATAAGGAGGAGAGATTATCTGTCACTGTGATTGATGGATGTCATTAACTGGTCTTTTGCGTGTAGTCCTCTGAAGATGCTGGCCACAGAGACTGGTGAAACGTTAGGAAGAACAACCTTCAGAACATGGCCAAAGAGCCCGAAAAAACCACAACAACCATTAGATCCCGGCCGTGAAAGCTTCCGCAAAAACTCTTAGCTCTTCTTCACTTTGGAGTTATGGATGGAGCTCAGCTATTGGTCCACAGGACTCAGGATTAGCCTTGAAAAGACTGAGGCAGCAGCCTCATGAGGAGGAGGTTTGGGGTAGCGTGAAAGAACAGCAGGTTCTGTAATTTATTATGATTTTAGCTTTATGCCAAAGAGAGGAAGAGGTGCTTGTTTTATTTTCTGCCTAACCTAGTTTGGTTGGCTTTAGCTACTATACCTTGAGCAAAAAAGGTTGTGGAGCCCTTCTCTACTCTGCTTCAGGCAGCAGAATGTTTTGGTTCAACCTGACAAGGCTGTTCACAATATTGGTGGGGCTCAAAAAGTCCCTGTGAGTCTACGGTACTCCAACATATGGTTGAGCAACAAGTACTTAAACTTTTCTGGGATTTAATGGGCATACATTCACTGAATGGACCTATGAAGTAAGCCTTTAACAGAAGCAATTCCAATTAACTCAGGCCAGAACAGGAAGTACAACTGAAAAAGGAAAAGAGGAAAACTCTAATAAGGAGGCCATAGGGCACCCTCAGATGATAACCAGTATGTGAAATAGAAGATACAATTTTTCCGATTTTCCGATGCGCTCAACAAGTGCTCCACTTGGCCATACTTTGATTTTCCTCCCACAGCTCAAACCTAAAAGGAGAGAGAAGCTTTTGTGGGTACAGAAGGGTTAAGTACCCCTCTCTCCTGCCAACATGTCCATGTAAATCCTGTTTCCATACTTCTCAGCATAAGGGGGAATGGGACTAGGCATCAGCTGAAATCTGTTCCTTTTCTCCCAATTGAGTCTTCAGCCTACACAAAGAATCCATCAACTTTTCCACGCATCCAACTGCAGAACTAGACGCTTTTCTATCATGATCATATGTCATCTACATCATGATGGGCATGCAGAAAGAGGGAGCACGCATTAACTGGACTGTGTGCAACAATGACCAAAATCCAACTGGTGAAATGCCATCTGCAGAAGGAAAACTGTGCGTCATGGTTTCCCCCCTCCTACAAGCTCCCCTGTGCAAAGGGCCACATATCTGATTTTACAGAGTGTGAGGTTAATGTCCAAATGGGAGCCTGTGGGAGGTGCTTACATGATCACCCTTATGGCATAACTAAATAGGATTCTGGCCAGTGTTGGGGTGCAAGGGGAAACTCTTATAGCTCCTAAATGTATTCTACATTACAGCCTGTTTATTCTGTTTCACAGAACTGAACAGGAGCCATGTCAACATAGAATGCAGACATAGTTACAGCAGTTTGATGCCACTTAAACTGACATGGCTCCAAACTTAGAACTCTCAACTAGAAGTATCAGGTGCACCTCTTTTAACTATATTAAAGAGCCTTGTGGCGCAGTGGTTAAACTGCTGTACTGCAGCTAAAACTGTGCTCACGATCCAGGGTTCAATCCCGGGTAGCCAACTAAAGGATGACTCAGCCTTCTATCCCTTCTGAGATCGGTAAAATGAGTACCCAGATCATTGGGGGCAGGGCAATGTGTAGCCTGCATAATTAACTTATAAACAACCCAGAGAGTGCTTGAAGCACTATGGGGTGGTATATAACCAGCGCGTTTTGCTTTTTCACTTTATATCAGGACATTCTCAGTACCTCAGGAAACTACAAAGCCCACAATCTCCTTAGGATGCAGCCGTAACAGTTAAAGTGGTATTAAACTGTTATTTAACTGCTATAATACTGTACAGTGGAGTCTTGACTTGAGAACTTAATTTGGGGGGGGCAATGTGTAGCTTGCATAATTAACTTGTAAACCACCCAGAGAGTGCTTGAAGCACTATGGGGCGGTATATAACCAGCGCGTTTTGCTTTATATCAGGACATTCTCAGTACCTCAGGAAACTACAAAGCCCACAATCTCCTTAGGATGCAGCCGTAACAGTTAAAGTGGTATTAAACTGTTATTTAACTGCTATAATTCTGTAGTATAGATACATGCCAAGTCTAACTTTTGCTTTTATAAGCTCAGCCCTTCCTTGCCCACAGCCTTGTTGTACGTTCCAGTCCTTAAAGGCACTAGAATCCTGGACTATGTTACATGAAATTTCACCTCAGATGCCTCAATATTTTATGAAGGCAAGGAAGGAAGAGAAAAAAATGGAAGAATTATTCCAGCAGAAAGACTGATTATACAAGGATATCATACTCACTTAGCGAGAGATCTTTAAATTCTGGAAGACCAACAGAGGCACACAGCTGATAGAAGATGTGGTAGTTTCGCTCGTCATCTGCCTGGGGAGTAAAACAGGCTTGGTTTCAGAGAAAAGAGCTGGCATTAAGCATAAATTAGAGAGCCCTTCTCCCTCTTGTAGATCAGAACGATCATATTTCACACCCTCCTCAAATAACTTTTATTTTATTTATATAACCATGTACAATAATTTTTAAATGAGCAGGGAAGGAACAAGAAGCATACCACTAATCATCATTAATAAAAGAATGGGAATGTCAAAAACAGTTGTCCTTAGAAACTTGTGAGGCATGCGACAGTTATTCCCATTCCGTAGCAGAAGACCTGAGTTTGAGAAAATGGGATTTTCCTATGCATGAAACATAGTGGAGCTGAGATTTTATACCAGTTCTATTCTCTCTTCAGCTTTATAATGAAGCAGAAGTAGATGTTTTTCTGGAACTCTCTGACCATCAGCTGGGTTTAAGTCCATGTTGTCACTAAGCATGCTCATCCCAATTAAACTCTTTTGGGGGTGCGTCCTCCCCTACACTTAGAATTCTCTTCCCTAAAGATTCTGTGTATTTTTGCAAATCTTGAGGTTTCCTTATCCCTGGTGACAATTCTCTTTTGAGTATGAATGGTGTCACTTTGTCTATAAAAGAGATTTGCCCTCAAAGATTTAGTTTGCTTTAGCATAAAGAATGATTCCTGACCTTAGTTGCTTATTTAAAATGTTGCCAGTTATGTGAATTTCCCAAATTTAATTTTTTTTAAAGTAGTCACACTCTTGGCGTTTGAGGAGGGCAAGCTGAAATAACTTTTAAGGCAAAACTTTATTTCGTAGAGTTTCTACAAAGTCAGACATCAAAGACTTTTATAAGTACCCAAGAGAGTACAAGACATTTTGCAAGAAAAGAAAAAACCTTGAAGATTTAAACTTCAGCTGAGGAATTGCAACAGCCAACACTTTTGATGAACAAGAAACAGGACATCAGCCAATGATGCTTTGTTAAAGCACAGTACTGATAGTCTTGGAAACAATCAGCATGACAAATAATTGGTGCCATTAATATAGGGGTAATATTTTTTCTGTCAAAGGTCACATTCCCTTGAGAAGGGAGTAACCTATTTTTTGATAAATACTCCCCCAGTCCCCCAGCTGTGCATACATATTTATAGTTAGATGCTATTTTTTGTTTAAGAGCTAAAAACTGAATTTTAAAAACTCACTTTTATTTTATAAGACTATAAGATAACTAGAACTACAACAATCAACAGTATTAAATATCACTAAAACTGTATTTTTAAAAATTAAACATATATCAGTATTAAAACCAAGCTTAAAACATTTTAAAAATACCGTTCATGCTCGTCAGAAGAACCTATGGGTTGTTTGCATGCTACGAAAATCTTAGTATTTTGCAAAATGGGAGGGCCAGCCAATTTGTAGAGTATTAAAAGGTACGTGGTTTAGCTTAGAATTCTCCCCCATAAAAATGGGGTCAGCATGGCACTACAATTTCACGGAGGAGCCCCATGTCAACTTTAAGAGTGACATGTAGTCCTGCTCCTGAAGCGGTGAATATGTTATTCAGTACAATAAACAAACTAACCTGAAACACAACTCTTGATTTTTCAAGCAGGTATGTCCTCATATTGGCACCGATGATGCGGTATCTTTTATCAAAGCCGATCTGAATGTACTTCCCAAAGCGGCTGCTATTGTCATTTCGGGTTGTTTTTGCGTTGCCGATGGCCTTTAGGAAAGGGAATATATATTAGAAACAAAGACCCTTCTGCAAGGACCTCAAATATGTCTTATAAATTTATAGCTGCTTATAAAGAAACACAAAAGCCTTTGCACTGAAAGAAAAACAAGAGATTGGGCAGTAAAGCAGGAGTTCTAAGCACTGGTAAGGCAAATGGATCTGCAGCCACAGCTTTAGACAGTTCCTGTAGTTGGGACACAACTCTCAAGACTTCACCAGTCTGGTAACCAATTCTGAGAACTACAGCCTCAAAAAGTAACTTTTCCAAGCTTGGAGTAGCTCCCGGTTCAAGCTCCCAGTTCATCTAGTTTTGAAATGGGAAACAACAGTAATCTATTTTACAATATATCTTTTGAGGGTGAACAATGAAGACTGCAACTTCTGTACCGGAATTCATTTCTGTCAATGCTACCATCCTTGTGATTGGCTGTAAATGACCCTTTCTCCCCATATGAACCTTCTTGGCATATAAGATGATCAGAGGAGGCCCTCCTCTCGGTCCCATTGCCAGCACCAGAGATGGCTGATGGGGACACGGGAGAGGGCCATCTCTGGGGCAACTCCCAAGCGATGGGTCTCTTTCCCTTTGGAGATCAGGCTAGCCACCAACAGCTGAAGACCCATCTTTTCAGGCAGGCTTTTAACAATCAATCCTTGAATACCTTTTTAGAGTTAAAACAGTTTTAAATGTTTACAGTGGACACTTGACTTACAGACGGCTTGACTTACAGACTTTTTGAGTTACAGACTTCTCTGGCCACAAAATTTAGGTTTGACTTGCAGACTGAGATTTGACTTACAGACCAGAAAAAAACCAAAATGAAACAAAAACGGCCTGTTACGGGATTAATCGGTTTTCAATGCACTGTAGGTCAATGGAGACTTGACTTACAGACTTTTTGACTTGAGAACCACCTTCCAATACGGATTAAGTTCTCAAGTCAATACCCCACTGTACTTGCTTTTAATTATTCAATTGCATTTTAATTCGTGTATCATTTAATTGGCTTTTTAAAATGTTTAACTTATGTTTTTATTCCTTTTAATATTGTGAGCTGCCTTGGGTCCCCTCATTGGGAGAAAGGCAGCCTATAAATACAACAAAATAAATGAGTAAATCAACAGCTGACCAGAGTCTTGGATTTGATAAGGAAGTATTAATACTGAGGTGTTAAGTCAGCTAATTGTCAAAACAATCTTCTGCAGGATTTCTGCACTGTTACAATATACCTGAAAAGTGACATCTCTTCTCTCCCCCAGCCCCAATTTTAAGGATACCATTTTCTCTAAAATACAAACAACTGGAGATTGTAATAGTCTGCAGCTTTCCAAGATACACAGAGAGAGCTGAGTTATGGAATTTGTAAACCAACAATATTTTGGGAGACTGGCTGCCTTTCTTTAGAAATTGTATGCAGGATAAGGATTCGGGTTACCTATTTAAATATTTAAGCTGCACTTCTATCTATATCTTTAGTATATTAAACCTAATGATTTCAAAATGTCAATAAGCTTCCCATTACCTCCTTCTAAAGAAACCTAAACATGAGTAAGTACGGTATGCTTCAACACTCAGAGAAGCAAACTTAGCATTAACAGTATGTTCCCTAAATCACTGGTTCTTAACCTTGGGTTAATCAGGGGTTTTGGACTGCAACTCCCAGAAGCCTTCACCACCAGCTGTCCTGACTGCGGTTTCTGGGAGTTGCAGTTCAAAAACATCCGAGTAACAAAGGTTAAGAACCACTGTCCTAAATGATTTATTGATTTGCTGCAAATGATTGTTATATACTGTAATTTCTTTCAGCCTGGACAGAACTTGCAAAATACTGGTTCTCAAGCGCAGGCTTCTCAATGTTTTCAAGTTCAAGAACTGGAAGAGACTCTACGGATCATCAAGTCTAGCACCTGTGAAGTAGAGTACATCATGAGTAGAGATGCAGGTGGACGTGACAAGGGTCCAGCTCCATGGGGCTGGATGGTCCACTCATCGTTCCACTGCTGCCGTGACCTCCACGATTCTTTCAACGGCTCGGGAGATCACGCCCAGCGCGCTACCCCGGGCAGGATGCAGGACGACAAGCCTCTCCGCTAGGCTGAAGAGCGGCTCGCCGAACACGCTCTCCGGAGCCATTGGAAGGATCGCGGAGGTTGTGGCAGCAGCGGAAGGGTGAGTGGACCATACAGCCCCATGGGGCTGGACCCTCATTATGTCCACCTGTGCAGGGGTATTCATATACATATCCCCCCATCTCTAATCATGAGGAATCAAACTCCCAGCCTCTGGCTCTTCAGCAAGATACCTAAACCAACGGTTACCCAGAAAGGCAAACTTTTATTGCAAATACATATAGAAAATAAAATTAGAAGAGGAAATTCGGAGACCATCAGTTATTCCATGATGATAATGAAGGGAATAACTGAGGCCAGAACCCAGCCTCGCAGCTGGGAGAGGACCAAAAATCATGAATAAATGTATATTTTTAGTCAACACTGGTATCTCTTGCATTAATGTATTGTGCTAACCAGAACAACAATAGCAGGAGCAGGAGCTGCAGCAGCAGCGACAACGACCACAAGAACAAGAGCATAGTGGCACCTTTACGACTCACAAATATATTCAAGAATGAATCTTTATGGATTAATCCCCTACTCAAGATACGTGATGTGTCTGTAGAAACAGACTGAAATCCCCAAGTAAATTGGATAGTGCTAAACATGTCACAGCACTCTTTTTTTGTTACTGACAACAAAAGATTGGATCTAATATTTTAAATGAAAAAAGAAAGTATTCACCACCTTTCTCTTATTTATTTGCTTCTTAACTGTTGGTTTTAAACTATTTTTAAATTCTACATTTCTGAACAATAGCAGTACCTATATTTATTAGTAACATGGGTACCCTTCATTCAGGGAATCTAGGGCAACACAGAGGGGTTCATTCACTAGACCTCCATTTTATTCTCACGCCCATCCTAGGAAGCACATTAAGTGATGGGGTAGTGACCGCACCGGCATTACCAATGGGCTTCATGGCTGAATAGGGATTTGAACTAAGCCTTCCTCTTCTTGCTGTCTTCTTGTGCAGCCACTGAAGTTCAGGTGACAGTGCAGGAAAATATGTGAAGTTTTATGTTATCTGACAGCAGGAGAACTCAGATTCCAGAAGCACGGGGGTCTGTTGTGTTCACAAACTGACAAAGAGCTTCAAGTGTTTCCAAGAGAAAGAGATGCTAACTCTTTTTCCTTTTTGCCTCTTCATTCAACAAAAGTTGACCTTACACTTAAAGTCAGTGAACAGAAGAGACATGGCAGCTCCTTCAGCTTAAAGTCATGCATAAAACATAGAAACTACATATCTTCCCAGCGGTGAACCACTTCCATCGAGACAGTAGGAACAGAGTCTGGAAAAACAACTTTTTTGGACTGGAACTCCCGGAATTGCCATCCTGGCTTTGGGATTCTGGCCGTGGGAGTCCAAAAATGTAATGTTTTAAGTTCGGATAACCCTCTTATGCCCTGATCCAACGGACGATAATCAGACACCAAGCATATAGCAAGAGGCACTTACTCTTCACAATAATAACCATGATGTGCCCTTGAGACGATTCTGATCTATGGCAACCCTTTCCAGGGTTTTCTAGGCACAGTCCTCAGAACTGGTTTATCATTCCCTTCTTCTGCAGGTGCCCTAGGACTGTGAAGCTCACCCATTCTACAATATCAGCGTTTATACTAAAATTATCAGCAGCCAAATTACAAACCAAGCCAGCGTTCTCTCTGCCCCCAGTAACCATAGATGGGAAATGTTTGTATTTGAACAAATATCCCAGCCGGCATGGGCTTTGTAGTTCAAAACTGAACATTCCTTGACTCCCTCCACCTTGCAGCAATGAGCTAATCAGCACCATTGATAGTTCCATTGTTGGCAGCTGCTCGTTAACTCTGAATGTCCTTGGACACACCAATCTGACTGGATGCAGTGATACACATTCTTCCTCTCTGTCCATGTCTGCCATCTTTGATGACATTACACTAGTCAGCACAGCCGGAGGCTGGCGAGGACATAAAATGTACAGTAACAGCAATGCAACAATCTCCAAAAATTTGCAAAGTATGTTGAACACTCCATGGAAACCATTCTGTAGTTCTCACAAACAGAAAAGATGCTGCAAATGTTTCTGAACAACCCTAATTGCATCAGTGCTTTAAGCTAATTTACAAGTTATTGTGTGCATGCTTCTTGGATCAAGGCCCTCTAAGTTCCTTGTAAGATTTACTCATCAAGGGATTCACTGCCTCACGTTTTGAGTTATGGTAGCTGGGCTTGCTAATTTCATCCCCTCATCAACGGTCTCTTAGATTTAAAAAACTGTCATTAGAACACCATCCCTCAGGGATCAGAGTTTTCTACTAATCACGCAGAATTTCAATTGCTGTCGTTTTGCTCTGATTGGTTGCACTAAGAGAACAGGAAGGAAGGGAACGACTCCTACGGTCCCAACAGAGACAAGAAAGGGCTGCTTATTGCAAGGAAGGCTACACCCCAATAAGACTCTCAGCTTGCACATACACTAAGACACCTGCCACGAAATTAAAAGACACCTGCTTCTTAGGAGGAAAACGATGACAAACCTCGGCAGCATCTTAAAAAGCAGAGACCTCACCTTGCCAACAAAAGTCCGGATAGTCAACGCTATGGTTTTTCCCGTAGTGATGTATGGAAGTGAGAACTGGACCATAAAGAAAGCAGACCGCCAAAGAATTGATGCCTTTGAATTGTGGTGCTGGAGGAGACTCTTGGGAGTCCCCTGGACTGCAAGGAGAACAAACCTATCCATTTTGAAGGAAATCAACCGAGTGCTCACTGGAAGGACAGATCCTGAAGCCGAGGGTCCAATACTTTGACCATCTCATGAGAAGAGAAGACTCCCTGGAAGAGACCCAGATATTGGGAAAGTGTGACAGCAGGAGGAGAAGGGGACGAC